TTAACAGATCCACAAAGGAAGATGAGGAAATTTCATCCTAAAATTCTAAGTATCCCTGGAAGTTTGTCAGCAAGCTATTACTCCTGAAATAATGAAAGAATAGGCCCCATTTCTCCATCCAGGAGCAGCAGGGTCTTCCTATTCTTCCATATGTAGACTATGTTCAAAGTGGATACTTCTATAATTGTTCTTTATGAGAAAAATCAAGTTTTCTACTTTGTGTGGGAGAATGCCAGGGGGATGAGCAAATGTTAGGAGGAGAGGTCTAGATTGCAAGTCTCATCAGAAGCATTGTGAAATTCACCTTTTTAGAACAACTTCAGTTTTAGCATTTGACAGCATAATCTAATTTATCTTGTAAATTTATTTTAAAGAGATTTAATTTACTTTATGGTATATTTACTCTTTGGGTACATCCATGTGCAGATCTAGGATTTTGAAAGGGGGGGGGTGCAGATGATGTGATGTATCAACATACAACATGACAGTTTTTTTTCCAGTTAGAGAAACTAGAAGTTTACTAATATGTGAGGCCTAGGGGGCCTGCAATATATTATTTAGTTTAAGATCAAAGTAAACAATTGCAATTTTGCTAGATTCTATATCAAGTTAAAAAAACACAACAAAACAGGCAAAAAAATATTCAAAAGATACCACATCATTAAGTCCTGTAGTTATTACTTAATTGCATGTCTCTTATTCATAAAACAAATCTAGCTTTCTTGAGCATCTTGACAGTGCCTCCAATACTTCACTATCAGTCATGTTTACAACTCTATTAATTGCTACACCATACCAAAGTTAAGGTTTTTAGCTAGAGCTAAAAACAGTCTGGAGGGCTGTGAAACAGAAGACAGACATTACTACAAATGGCTAACAAAGAGCAAAATTGCAGAAGAAAGGATATTTTGAATAGTGGCACATCTGGACCATTAAAAAGGAGAGAGGGTCATTAACATCTGTGGAACAGAGAGAGATTAGCAGGAATCAGGGAGATGATAATGACCCATGAAGTCAATTAACTTTCTCAGCACTGCCTGAATAGAAATGCTAGTCCCAGGACAGTCTGGGAGAGGCCAAAATCCTACCAGGGAAGAGAGGGGGAAGAGGTTCAACTGCACCACTGCAACTGCTGAGTACACCCCTGGGTGTATCTGCTCCACGCCCCACACACCATGACCACCCCTAGATCTACCCCTGAGTACACATAAGAAAAAAAATCCAGTGTTTCCAAAACAGAAATTCTGGTCAAATTGCTTTATGAGGAAGACAAAGCCTGGAACAAGTAATCACCACAAACTGCTAATTCAACCTGCATTTTGCCCACAAACATTTTGTATGCAGTGCTAGAGGCTTTACAATCCTGTTATGAAACAAAGTTTTGTCTGAACTAGCCAAATGGACAGAAGCTAGCATTGCTGGTATGGTGTAAGGTTCTTGTTGAAGTGAGCTGCATCCTGACTGCTAATATCAGTCTATAGAAAATAATTGTTTGTCATCCTACCATGCCTTACCTAAATTCTGAGCACACAGTATCAAAACCTTCTCCATACATACTGATATTTGCAACTCTGCCCTTTCTAGATAGTTATTAATTTGAAAGGAGTGCCATGTTGTTCTTTAAACAGGATCAGTCCAATAAACCTGTCCAACTTATATTGATAAGGATTTTTTTTTCCCCAAGAGCACTCCATAAAGTTTCTACATTGTGCTGAAAAAAATCTGATTTGCTACTGATTCTAATAGGTAGAAACACTACCTACAAACTGATTAATATAAATACTTTAATAAAATAAAACAATCTATAACTACTTAAAATTCAAAATTATAATAGTATATTCTTGTAACTTTGTAGCACCAAGCAGAGCACATTCTGTGATTTTAAAACATTGTCACTTGAAAGAGAAATAGAAATCAAAAGCAACAGTAAATTAATTCACTAGTATACCTTAGTGACAGTGTATTTACCAACTTAAACTCAGGGGGTGGTCTACAAAGCACAATAAAGTGCTTTGATCTTCGTTGGATGTTTAAAGCAGTGGAGCTGCAAAGTTCCTATAATACGCTCCGCTGATTCTACTACCAAAGCCCGGGTATTTCTGCATGGTAGACATATGTACAAACTAAAGAAACTGTGAAGTCATTTAACTGGATTATCAGTAGTAACAATTTACTAATAAATACTTTGTTCAGAAGAAGTCAAGGTTCTACCCTGGCACACCAACTCATGACCTTGAAAATAAATTAAGGGGAAAAAGCCTTTTGCATTTCATGCAACTTTTATATAACAGAAAGCTATTTATATTACCATTTATTGTCAGTGACACTCCATGAGGTTTTCTTTTTGCCTCCAGATACTGAACACCTATTTCTAATTTCCAACCAACACAAGCGCCAATACAAAATCTTGGCAGCAACTTCATATGATCTTATCAATAGACTGGCAAAACTGACCATCACATATCTTTGGGAAGTTAGTCTGCCTTAATGTTAAGATCAAAGGTTTAGAGATTTTGTATGAACCAATGACTATGCTGTTGTGGAGCAGACCACCTGTTAGGACTCATGCAATTCAACTACCAGTGGAACAATAACTGCCTCAGAGAGGGAGTGCTGGGATAAATAAAACACAAAAGCCAAATCTATCATTCATATACAGGAGACTTTTAGGTTTTCTTCCCACCAACCACATATTAAAAGTTCTTTTAAGGCCTTCCAATTTGAAGGGCTGTCTCATATGCTTACAGAAAGGATGAGGCGAAGTTCTGTCTGCAGGACCACTTTATCCAAAGGATACTGTATTCTGTCCCAAAAGCTTAAAACACTTTTTCCAGGACAATAGATAACCATTAAAGATAAACTTAGAGAAGAGATTGGTAGACACTACCTTTGTAGCATTCAGTGATACAAGCTTTCAGTGTAGCTTTAGCAGACACCACGAGCCTGGTCCCAGGGAAGCAACCCTGAGAATATAATGGATGTAGAGGAGGACCAAGACATTATTTTAAAAGTTACACCGCATAAGTGTCAAGTCACCTTTCAGGATGACTTTAAAGCTCATGACCTACATGCAGAAAATCCAGATGCCACAGCTGACACTGGAGAAGTGCTCAGACACTATTACACATATGAGAAAGTTTCTAAGTTCAAAGTATGTTATGAAGAATGATAGTTCCCTTTAAGACAGAGTGGAAATTACTTATTGTTTAATCTCTTTCTCAGAACATAACTACCACACAGTTGAGCTGAGTGAACTCCTTGGAGGACCCTACCTGAATACTTGGGAGGTTTCTAGAGGCCATAACCTATGCATTTATTTCCAAGTTTCACAAAGATCTTGACAAGTAAGATAATTTCTCAAGGTCCATTTCTTGGGTAAATTCCTGAGTATATCAAGAAGTAGGCCTGCAATATTGTTGTAGCCATGATGGTCCATGAAGTCTGCGAGAAGAAAGGTTGTTGACAATATATTTTATTGGATGAACTGTAGAGTTGGGAGGATGTCACACATGCACTTCATGCCCATAAGCTTGTCTAACATCTCTCTCGGCTATACAGCTGGTCCAATAACAAGCGTTTACTAAAAACCCCTCACCTTGAGTACAAGACAGAAAACCTGGGCCCATCTCTCTTTTCTAGGGTTTGAGGGGAAGGCTCACAGGCCATAGACCTGTTAGGGAATTAAGAGAGGTAGTCCCCAGTAGTTCTACCCTAGCTAAACCAATTAAGAAATGGGATTGAATGTTTTAAACTGGAACCTTTGAAGCAAGACCCAGTTCCTCAGGCACTAAGAAAGATATATGATGAAACTACATGATTTTTCCCTTTGTGATGATAAAGTCTCTGGATTGCAAGAAGGTAAGGAAGAGAAGAATGAGAGAAGATTCCAAAAGAGGAAATTACAACATCCACAGGAAAACAATTTCTTTTTGAAGAGTCCTTTTACTTTGTTTGTGTCTGAAAGAGCTACGGCAGCAAGCTGGGAACTCCCTCTCTTCAGGCAAGCTTGTCTTGCTTTCTTGTACTCTGACACAAAAGCCACAATAAGCTCATTTTCCTTTCTTGGCTTGTATACCAAACTTCATTTTGAATGTGTCAAATGCTTAAACTGGTGGAGTCAAGGTAGACTGGAAGCATCTTTCTTGTTTGACTTTGTCTTAAAGATAACCAGTCAGTTACTTTGATCGCTTATCCACCTTTCCTTTATCATTCTAATTTAGCCCAAGACTGAAGTCCATTTATATCAATGAGAGTACTACCAATGATAACCTGGAAGCCAGAAGCCAGTGTTCATGCAGACATTCATAACCAGGGGAATGCATATTATAGAAGATAACCAAAATTTGTCAAAGACTAGGAGCCTGCATTTACATGCGTAAGAATTTATTTCAGTATTTAAGAAAAAGCACACCTGTGATGAACTTGGAAATGATTTGATCATTTTGAAATCCTGATGTAAAATAAATTCTCATAGATATCAGAGACAGGACATAGTTCCCCACATACATGAGGTATTGAAATGTGATTTTTTATTTTCCTGAAGTAGTTTAGTCACATATATACATATAGGTCAAAACCACTAGTACAGTTAGGATGAGCCATACGTATTTTGTTTATGAAGTGAATGGATCAGTTAGTTGTGTGTCACTTGTAAGTGTTACCTCTTGTGATTACATTGAGGCGTGCATAGTATTGGCATTTCTTCCTAGAAGTTCCAGATTTTCGATGCAAGAATCTCAAGAATCAGATACCAAGACTCATGAATAGAAAGAAAAAAGCTTGAAGATGAGATTTAATTAACCCAAAAGACTAGATAAATGGAAAATACGAAAAAAATAGGAACTTACAAAGCTTCATGCTTTTGGACCCTGACATGACTAACAATTGCAAATATCAGTACTGAAGAAATACTTATTTTCAACCACGCATAAATCTAATAATTTCAAACAAATATTCTGTTAGAAGCATAGTTAGTAAAATAAAGTTATAAAACTGAATACCTCAGTCTGACCTTCATGGGCACTGGATTCATGAGTGACACGAATAGCCTGAAAATTAAAACATATGTTTTCACTAAATTTTACACAAAACATGTTATTTTAAATAACAAGTATTTATGAAAGTCAGTTCATATTCTCAATTTTCAACTTTGTAACATAGTAGTTAATGCTGTGCTATACACACAAGATTTTTATTTATTTTTTATTGCATCTGGTAGAACACAACAGTCCAACTGGTGACTGTAGGCCACATGTGACCCACAAGGGGTTAAAGTTGTGGCCCGGGGGGCTTCCATCTGCCCCTTGCCAGGGCCACGCAGGCGCACACTGCAGCTGGGGAGAATCCAGAACAGAAGGCCTGTGGCTTGCCCTGAAACCCATGCTGGACAGCAGGGCATGCAGCTCCCAGCTGCTTAGAAGTTGGACAGCCCTGTGTTAGAAGAATTGACTAGAAGTTAGCCAACCAAAAGAGACACTGATTTAAATAACTTTTTATTTCATATTCTATGTTAGGGGATACCTAAAAAGGAATTGCTATTTCACAAATTAAAATCATATCACCTAACACAGTATTAAGTCTTTTACACAACCAGTAGTGGGATTACAAAGTTCCCTGTTAAAAGCAAATGTCATTCATAATAAATCATTCATAAATTACTTTGATAAAGCACTTCAGCAAGTGCTTATCTTTAAGCATGAGCAGTTCAACTATGGTAAACAGGACTGGTCACAGCCCGAAATGTTTTGTTGAAAGAAGATCGAATGCAGAACTACTCATACAAACATTTCTACTGTATAAAAAGAAGAGAAAGATACTAACCTCATAGGTTTCTAGATATTTGGCTCTCTCTTCAGGAGTCATTAATAATGAATCTTCCAGAAACTTTTTCAATGAAGAATCAGATTCTTTAAACAATAAAATAAAAATAGAAAGTGAATGAAGAAATCTCTCTATTCTCCTATCTTCACTAAACTCAGACAATTACAACAAGAGGAGAAAATGTTTCATAGCTGACTTGGCTAATATTTAGCATTCTATTTTTAAAAAAGTATACATCACAAAGTGTACAGTGAATTTATATCCAGCCAGAAAAATAAGAACACAATGCCAATAGTTGATTGTATGCTGTGTATTAAAAGAAGTCACCAGACGCTCATTATGGTAAAAAAGATAAAATGTTACCTGCCACTTTATACTGGTAGATTAAGACTTATTCATTCTGTAAGATCTTGGTGTCCTTTGAATTACCAAAATTCTTAATTACTATCAACTTGCACAAAAAACTGTGCTGCTGCTGCATCATCATGAAAAGAAAATAATGGCTAATTTCTACTTAAGTCTTTAATACCGAGATACTAACATCCTATGTAAAAACAAAACTATGTTAACCAAGAAAAGATTTACCAAAGTTCATTTTATCTTTGTTGTTTGCAATAGCATGAATAAGCCCAATTGTTCCACAAGCATTGCTGATGGTCTGCTTCATGAAGTATACTGATGATTTCACATCTTGCCCCTCAGTTTTTATTCTCTCTTCTTCTTCTGTTCTGAAAGTTTCATACTAAAAAAAAATCCAAATATTTTGCATGTAAAAATCAGTAGATACTAAACCTTCAAATGAAGTTTAATGGAGCACAGGACAATAGCAATTTGAAACAAGTGAATAAGGCAGTCCTCCTATCCTTAGTTATGTGATCTGTAGGATTATTCACTTGAACAAGCTCTGTAGAATTAGGGTGTTCAGTCATTATCTTATGACCAAGGATTCTGATTTTCTCCATTTAAAAATCCAAAATTCTGGATTTAAAAAAAATGCAAAATCTATGTTTTTCTGTGATTAAAATGAAACACCACTATATCTGTAGGTATCAACTGAACACAGTGTTTTATCGATATATTTACATTTTAAAGCAATTTGGAAGCCTAACAGTGCTTCAATCATTATAATAAAATTAATTCTTAAATACCTATATATTTTGGTATTAGATTTATTTTTATTTTTTTTATCATAGAAAAATTAGAGCTCTCCCTGTCCCCTTTGCTCACCAGGATGCGGGTCCAGCTGCAGTTGTTCCTTCGCTGCTTTGTGGCACTAAGCAGCCCTGATATGCTGATGCCTTCACTCCCAAGCCACAGCCCTCCCAGTGTCCCTTAGTCCTGACCCACAACCCCATTGCCTGGCTGGGGCCCCTCATTCTCAACCCGCAGCCCTCAACCCCACTGGTGTCCCTCATTCCTGAACTGCAGCCCCTCCTCCCCCCACCCTACTGGTGCCCCTCACTCCCGACCCGCTGCCCCCTGCCCTCCAGTATGGAGGGCAGCAGGGTGGATGTGCCCGACCAGTCGACACTATAGGCGATGTATCAGTAGGAGGCATGGGTGGGCACATGCCTGCCCCCTTCAGATTTGTGGGTGGGACCTGGTACAGAAGGGCAGAGCGGGGGGCAGAGCCTTGCTGCTGCCACTGCCGAGATCCCTGCACGAGAACAGCACATGGCGGCGGGGGAAGGGGCCATGCTGTCCTCACCTCCTCCCGTTGCCAGCTTTACCCCACCACCATGGCCCTGCCGCCTCTCCACTCAGGCTGCCCCCACTACCCTTCACCCCACATCCCCTTCAGGGTAGAGTTGCGGCCTAGCATACAAGTGGCTGGCAGCAGAGGATGTGGGGATGGCATGCCTGACTTGGGGATCCTGGCAGCAGCAGCAACAAATCTCGCTATCCTGCTCTGTCCTCTTGCACTGGGTCCTGCCCACTGGACCATGGAGGCAGCTCCTGCTTGTATTGGTCCGGCCAAACTGCAGCCCTGCGCCCTGCTGTAGGCACACAAATTTGGGGGGGGGCACATGCCTACCCATGTTTCTGACACACTGCCTACGGCACCTGACCCCTCCTCAGGAGTGTGCACAGCACCAGGAAGCCAGCCCCCACTAGACGAGCCACCCATGGCTCCATCCCGCTCCTTGGTCAGGCACCATGGTTGCACATTTCTGCCTTGGCCCCAGACCCTGAGTGCTGCCCCTACTGGCCAGCACCCCCAACCTCACCCCCCAGACAACAACCCTGCCCCACTCCCTCCCTATCACCATGGGACTCAGTGTGAGCTGCTGACTGATTTTTCCCTCCCTCCCCGCAAAAAGACTTACCTGCAGGAAGCTGTGAGAGCTGTTTACCACACTGCCTGCCTGCAATATGCATGTGTGCATGCACACATCCACATGGTGCCCCCCCCCATCTTTGATTGCCCTCCTCCTGCTCCTCTAGCTCCAAGCAGCCCCTTGCAGATTCAAACTCTGCCAGCCTGCAAGGGGAAACCCATGATTCCCTGTGTTTTTCCCCTTTAATGGAGAAAAAACACATTTTTCTGTGGCAAATGGAAAACCTAGATCCCTGCTTATGACCAGCCAAAAAATAAGTAAATCCACTCAGCATTCTACTCCCTCTCCCAAGTATTTTAAAGCACTTATCTGTGTGTATCATTTAGTACCATGTAAAATATGTTCAGAAAATTAAAATAGTCAGTTTTTCTCTTGAAGTGAGCACTTCTTTCCACTACAGCTCTCCATGTCTCTTCAAATCAGCAAAAAATATTTAGAGAAGGAAGATAAAAAGGTCAGCATCTGCCAAGCAAACTGGACTCTGGTAAATAATAAATAATGGAACCATACTGGACTTTTTACAGAACTTTGTTTTTCAGAAAAAAATACTGTTTTTGAATGATATGGATGACCTTTGCAAATTGGCCTTATAATATCAGATTCCCAAGGCAATTTGATTATCCTATATATTAATTTGGCAGGGGTGGGTAACCCTTTTGGCAGACATGCCACAAATTAAGTCCATGCTCACCTGCCTGATCTGCTGCTCTTCTAATAACTCCCTGCCTTTGCTGCTGCTGCTTCTTCCCCAATCTGTTGCATACCACACAGAGGCTGCCCATGGCATTTTTGGCACATGCCACACATTGGCCCATCCCTGTATTAATGTATCTGAGCACAAGGATTTGAGTAGCACTCAGGCATAATACAGGGCTTACATTTGTGGCACACCTTCCAAAAACACTGATCCTCACTATCATTGTTCAAAGCATTTGAGATTTGTCAACTATTGTCACTAAGCTACTTGGGAAAGAAGAAAGTTTAGAAACACTCCCTTTTCCTTCAGGTAAAGAGAGACCATTGGAGGAGCTGAAGTGAAGCAAAATGGGTTCAGTCTGGGTCCTCTGTTTTTGATGGAGTGAAACACCCTTTGGGAACAGAAGTATAATTTGCTTTGAAAGGGCATGACAGTTGTAGTTTTGGGTCTTGTTTCATTATATTACTATGTATTTCCCCACTGAGTATAGTTTGTGTGTTTTACGCTGCTGCAGATAGGTTAAATAAGCAAACACAAAAGGCGCTGTACTCTTTACAAACTGATTATCAACAAACAAATCCCCACAAAGCTGCCCACAACTAAAACAAACTGAGAAAACAGGGTTTTTAGACAATATAGACAATAAAATGAAGCAATGTCCTGAGTTTAAAATCTCTCCACCCTCTCAATATGTTGCTGATGACTGATTTTTATCAGTCAAAACAGCAAACTTGAAAGCACCAGGCAGTGGTTTGGTCAATTCTAAAACATTCCATTCTCTTATCTCCCGGTGGAATGCTGTTCTCTTGAACTACAAAGCCCCCCTCCTTTAACTTTTTCTTTAAGTAGCATAAAACAAAAGGCTGTAATAAATAAATGCTTCGAGATCTTAGCTAATAACCATGCCAAATAATACAGCTGCCTAAAAATTGGCACAGTAGGCATTTTAAGGATGTCCCAAAGCTGTTAAATAAGATTAAAAGCTTCACTAAAATTGTTTTTAGTTTTAGAGGAACTGTGTCCTGGGCTAAGTGGCTGACCTAATCACATTTGTAATGACACACTGTGAATTTTACTGATTTCAAGCATCAGTTGAGGTTAGGAGTGTTATAAAGAAAATCAACTAAGTTGTCAGGTGGGAGAAAATGCCTGCTCTATACGAGTCGTGTTGTTACAGCCATGTATCTCCAAAAAATATGCAAGAAGATAGATTTGTTTGGCAATATATTTTATTTGAACAATGATACAGCTGGAAGATGCCTCAGCCAAGCTTTCAGGTACAAAATTCCCATTCCTCAGTTGTGCCTGCTCTGTAACGAGCATCTACGGTGGCCATTCATCTGGTTTTAAAGAGGACAGCCTGGTTTTCTGCTGTTCTCTCCTCTGTCCTATTGATACAAAACCAGACACCTCTGTCAGACTGGTGGAAGTCTATGGAGGCAAACAGAGGACATAAAGGCATCCAGTTTCATATCAACAGGACAGAGTAGCAGAAAACTGGGCTGTCCTCTATAAAACCAGATAAATGGCCACCCTATGAGGATCCCAAACTTTCCAAAACAGAAGCAATGAAGTACTACTTGGGACAACAAGGGGACACGTTTATATTCATCACCAGAGGCTTACTCAAACATCAGCAAGAGACTGGCAACTGAACCATTTGGTGCTTCCACGTGTCCAATTCTTGATGAAAAGAGAAAGGATCTGAGAGCAACAGGAAGGTTAAGGAAAAAGGAAAAACAGAGCAGCTCAAGAGAAAAAAAAAAAAGTTTTCTATGTTTCAGTGTGGATACAGATATGTGGGTTCTCTAGATACCCAGGTACTAGTTTTCTAAAACAATGAAAAATTAAAATGAAAAATATTTTCTAGAATGAAAACAACAACAACATCTAAAAGATAGCTTTCCTAGGACTTGTGTCCCAATGTAGTGGCTTGGCAAGTCTGTGGATAATCAAACTAGCTGTAAGCAGTGACTAATCCAAGGTAACTTATTTGAAAAGTACTTGACTAACTGATACATCATGACCGTGCTGTTCTTTTTCTCGCACTCAATAAATCATGCATCAGGCCAGTATACACTTGCATAGCATCCTCTGACCACCTTCATCACCTTACACCAGAGGACCCCGCCATGCATTCTCCACTTCTTTTGAATCCCTCATTTTAAACTCACAACCTCGCACCTGTTCCATTTTGCATCCCATGCTATTTAGGCCTAAACTCAGAATTTTGGCTGCTTGTAGACATTAAAAATCAAAACTAAACAAAAATGCACTTTACCGGAAGTAGCAGCACATTACTTCAACCAGGCTCCACAGCATCTGTATAGATCAGGTGTTTCAGTGGAGCTTTTTGGCACTCTTCGCCAAAGCTGATTCAATCAGCTATTAAGTAAAAGCATCAAAAAAGCCCTGCAGAAGCACCCGATCTATACAGATGTTGGATGAGTTGGGTCCATCTAACACGCTGCCCTTCTGGGCATGCACTGGGTTTGGCTTGGGGCAGGTGGAGTTTAAAATGTGATTTCTGTTTATTTAATGCCTGCAAGCAGCCTAAGAGACATTTTCCATCTCACTGAGTAGTAAACGCAGTGTACCTTTATATTCATCAGTTCAACAAGTAGTCATCTAGCCTCACTTCCACATTTTATTTTAGAGAAGACCTTACTTGATCCTTGCTTTTTTGTGTGCGCTGTCCCTTATTTTGGGAAAGTGACCATGGCTGTTTTTCTAGCTGTAGTCTCTTTGAGACTCCACATAAGCCAAATAATAGCCAAAGAACCTTTTGCAATACATTAATTTTAAAATGAGAAAGGTTCACTTGGAACAACAAAGACCCTTTGAATATCCAGTTTAGACCACTTCTTCATTCTATAAATATGTTAAGTATTACTGAAACATCCAAAATAAAACTAAAAAGAAAAAAACAGCACTGACAAAAGTATGTGGTTATGATCTCAGAGTTTTATATAAATAATCCTGCTCATAATTTAAGTAATCTAAAAAGTACTTCTTAGAGTTCCTATCCAAACATCTTCCTCAAAGGGCAAAGCTTATCACTTTTTGATTGAAAGAGGAATGTTACAAAAATAAGTTCAGTCTCAAATTTTCCTGTCCTTTTTCTCCCTTATCTCCAGTTATTTAGAATGCCTGGACAAGAGAAGCTATACCTTATTGTGACAATAAGGAGTTGTCTATGTATAAAATTCTCATTAAATTTTATTAAATGATTGCATCATTGAATGCCTCAGTGTGTAGCAAGTTGGCATGCAACCACAAGTTCCTGAAATATATACCATCCACTTAGGAGAAACTGCTGACTAAAGTCATTAGGATTAACATCTGGGCTCCAGAAAAAACAATGAGAAGCAGGGTGCCTGAGCTGAAAAAACAGTTTGACTAAGCTTATCGGATGGGAGGAGAAAGAGAAAAATGGAAAAGTTACCAAACAAGAGAATGAAGTTGGAAGAGCAGGGGGGTTTAAAGGCTAAGCAAGCTGGGACAGGAAAAAAGAAGCAAAGCAACATGCTTTCATAAAAAGCAGACCTTTGTCAGAGAAGGAAAGAGACTGGCTGCAGAAGACAGCGATTTATGAAGCCAGAAGAGAAGGGCTACTGAGAAGGGGAAGACCCAGATCTCCTAGAAGACACTATCAATCTCCAAATAATGAAGACTTGCGTCAATCCAGACCAAGAGCAAAGGGTCCATCTAGCTCAGGGGTGGGCAATTATTTTGGGCAGAGGGATGCTTACTGAGTTTCGGCAACCCATCGAGGGCTGCATGACACGCAAACCAGGGCAGATTAATATTAATTTTCTAAATTTTTAGGGTCTCCGCGGGCCGGATACAATGACCTGGCAGGCCGCATCCGGCCCACAGGCTGCATTTTGCCCACCCCTGATCTAGCTGCATGAAGGGACCCAAATACAGAATCTGGAAAGTATCCACCAGAGGGAGTTTTTACAGAGCTGAAACAGCAGAGAACAAGAAAAAGTTTTCCCTCCAATCTGAACACTTACAGCTCCATTAAAACATTGTCTATAATTCTATGGGAGGATTTTTATACAGCAGGCATAAAGTAGCCACATCTCTCGTAATCAAGATGTGCATACCTTTTTCTTAGCGCAAATATCTCCTCAAACATGCAGTTACATAATGTGCATGAAATATCTTGAATTCTACAGATTTAAGGATCTTTTAAAAGTTAATGTTGAATATTTCAAAATTGTCTAACATGCATGCTGAGTAGGGGTGCACCGGAAGAGATTTTGGGTGCCAATACCAATAGCTGATTTTTAAGGAGGCATATCAGCCAATACCGACTTGATTTCTGATACAGCTGCATGCAGCTGGTAAGTCTATTGTGGTGGATGGGGAGTGGGGAGCCACATGAAGGCCCCTGCGGTGAGGGAGGAAGTGAAGCTGGGGCAGGGGTGGCTCCCACCACAGCGGACAGCATGTTGGGGGAAGGGGGGGGGAAAGCACATGTGCCCCTGGATCTGTGTGGGGTGGGGCAGGGTGGGCTGCAGCTGCAGGCTGGGAACTTCCTGGCACATGGGGAGGAAGGGCTGGGCCATACTGCAGTCAGGGTGGGTTGTAGTGGTGCAGGGGGTGGGGGCCAGCACACTAAATTGTACCATAGCCCCCTCCCAGTGCTGCCACCGCCTGCCCCAAGCACAGCTTGGCTCAGTCCCTGCCTCACAACGCGCTGGGAAGAGCCCAGCACTGCCCCAGCCCACCCTCTCCCCCCCTCACAGGTCCGGGAGCATGCGCCCCACCACGCCCTCCCAGGCTGCATGCAGGGGTGGGAGCCACCCCACCCCCATGCTGCCCAGATAAGCCACGGCTCCATCCCGCACCCTGTCCCACCCAGGCAGCGCCTGTCCCAACCCCACTCCCTCTCTCACCACAGGAGGCTTTTACCTGCTCCCTATGCCCCTTCATTCCCCCATCACCTTCCACAACAGACTTATCAGCTGCATCTCTCTCTCCAAGCTGCCAGGCTGTTCCTTGCCACCTTCGTGCCGTGCTGCGGCTGCATGCATGCACAGGTATTTATCAGCCAAATCAGGCCAATTTCCGATACAATCAATTTGCTTTAAATTGGTGCCAATTCAATGTCCGACTGATGTATTGGTGCACCCCTAATGCTGAATAGCTAATATGCAGACCTGCATACAAACTATTGGTGCTGAGAAAGATGTACCATTTAACTGGAGAAAGGGACCTAATTTTCTCCCCCCTAGCACAGTAGTTATCAACCTTTTTTGGAGTCAGGCATAGGTGGCAGAAGGCCAGGATAATGGAGCTTAGTTCCCGTAAACTGGGCCAGCGACAGCAGCTCCAGCACCACCACTGCCCCAGTGCCGCACCCAGTGCCCCTGCCACGTGCTCCTCTGATGCCACACATACAGCACCAGTGCACCCTGGCCCTGGAACAGCCCTGCAGGAGGGAAGGGTGGGGTCAGGCAGGCACACCCCACACCTCCTAGACCCCCAACTAATATTTTCTAGTACCGCTTATGGAGTCAAGGCACGCCTACCCAGCTTTTTTTAATTTGATGGCACTCTCATTAAGAACCACTGTTGTGCCTGTCCTCCTCAAGCTCCTCTCAGAAACAGAGGTCCACCTGGCCCCACACACCTCTGCTCCCAAAAGATGCTATTTAGGGTTGGACCAGGAAAGGTTGTGGCATGAGACAACTCATTTGCCTTTAGGTTTTACTGGAGGACCCTTAAATGAGGCAAGAGAGCATGTGCCCCATAGCCCTTCCTGATCTGGCTCTGCATGAAGCAAGCAGGGCACTTCTACCTGGCTATGGCAGGGGCGCCCATGCCATAGCACTCCTAAGGGAGTCTCCACAGCATCCCGGTTAAGAGTCACTGCCCTAAACCATTCAAAAAACCAACCTCTTTCAAAAAGAAAAGAAGGCTACATTGATAGTGGCCTCACTAGGAAAAGGATAAAGTTTGGTTTGCAGCCAAACCAAATATATTACAATATTGAATATTACAAATTCAAAAAAAAGTGTCACCTGTGGCTACCTGGTAACTTCATACTTCCCACATCCCACCCTATATTTTTGTGCATTGCCTCAAGTGTAGCATGACTTGATAGTAACAACAACAGTTCTATTAATGTGACTCTTAAAATCCTGTTCCCTACTAGTGAAAGATGTGAATCAGATTTCTTAAAATGCATATTTACAACAGCATTAACAAGCTTTTTTTCCTTTTTGAAAAAAAAGCATGAAACCTTTTTGCATAGCCCTAAACAAGTTTCAAGTCTCATTTTGCTTTATTGATATAGTTAAAGTTCAGAATTGTGGCTTTCACATCCGTTATGATAGGACACTGACTGATCCACTGACTTTGAATTACTGAATATCAATAAATATTTACCTTTTCTGTTATTGGGAAGAGAAGTAATACTGCACAGACCGGTCTTGGCACCATGCTAAGAAGTTCTGGCTCCATACCATACACGTCTACAAACTGCCAGTCAGGATGTATACCTAACTGTTTGAGAAACTGAGAAAGAAAAAAATACATAGCATTAAGATGATTATGTTATAAATTAACCTTTTAGGCTCATTATATGTTATGTAAGAAATAAATATACTGTGATAGCAATTTTTGTTGTGTGCAGATCAAAGTAGGAGGGCAATAAAGGGAAGTAAATGTGTTTTGATTTTAATGAACAAACTGGGTAAGTACAATGCTAATGAAGATAAAATAAAAAGACCATAAACAACTGTAAATATATTTAAGGAGCTGCAGGAAGGGGGAAAAATGGAAATTTGTCTGTAGCTTGGTCCAAGGTTTTCAAGTCAGCAATTTTGCAAGACGTGCTTTTGTGAAGGAAATCCCAAAAACTTAAGTTGTGCCCCTCCAAGGCACGAACAGTTCTAATTGATTAAAATTATATGCATGCATGTACAAAATGCATTTGCCCCTGTCCAGTATTTCTCAGAAGTATACCATGTCCTATATTAAACACAGCCTCAGACTTAATTTGAGAAATGTATAATGCTCAGGACCCTGTTAACAGATTAAATTGAAGTTTGAGCATTTTACAGTGAGTATATCAGTGGTTCTCAACCTAATTAGACTGAGAAAATGCCAGCTCTTACCTTTCACTCAGTTGTATATGGAAAAATGGAGCATTTCTTCCATTGCAAAGAACTCAGAAAGACCATAGCAGGTCAGAAAACTTTTGACACTATAGTTTCCCATTTCAAATCTCTGGGTGTATCTGCAGAATCACATGCAGGTATTTGCACACCTAACAGTGCTAATATTGAGTGGTACCCTGGTTGAGAATTACTGGAGTATACACCATGGATGTTCTTTGGCAAGAAGAGGGATGTTTAAGTGACATGTACTATATAGTTCTCAGCTGGTTTCTTTCAAGGTGTTTATTAGATTCTAGATCACTGTTATGTTGCTGTTGCTGTAACAACCTTCCCTATGTTACACCAAAAAAGGGGGTTTGGATCCTCCATTACTATCATCTAGCCACTAAAGAGAGAGGATGGCACACTGTAATCCTCTTTGACAGGGACTCTGACTCTCCAGTTGAAAATCCATGTTCTAAGATGACTCTTTCTGAATAATAATGTTTTTCTCATTGAAGTTGATCTTCATTTACACAGCCATCTGTTCCTCTGCTTCAATGGTGGAGTTAAAAGCTGCACTCTTTAAAAGATTTTTGAAGCATCTTCATTTTCACTGCACTTGACTAAAGTCACCATCAGAAATGCTCCTGCAAATTTGATCGAGTCAGTTCAGAGATTACAGATACAAAGACATATTGATGCTGTTCTTCCATAGATTCTAAGAATAGCATATCACAATTAGTTTATATCCTATCATAAATACTTTACATCATATCTGGGACCACATTTTCTATGGTCTAAAAGTAGTTTATGTTAGCAAACATAGGATTTGACAACTTTATGGGTTTTCCATGTAGGTTACTCATTTCATACCTTCCTACCATGTTCAGAAAACCCCTAGCCTACATAAGAATCCCATCCAGCTGAATGGGATTCATATAAGACAAGGAATGATGAAGAATAGCTAATAAGCTACTGCACATACTACTCCCCCACCCTCCCTCACCAAATGCAAAACAGCTAGTACTCCTCCTCCTTCCCCAGCTGAAAAAGCTGTTGAATTTGCCTATGGGAAAAAAAAGCTCCAAAGCAAAAGCTACAGAACTCAAGTGTGATAAGGCACACACTACTGCTACCTAAAAGAAAGAGATTAACTCCCTAGCATCCCCCTCTCCAAACACAGGCATTTTTCAAGAGCTTCTTCTTGAAAGTTAGAGCACTTGTTTCTTTAGGGCAGAAGTATTTGGTAATGACATGAGCTAGTGAACAAAGTGGGGGAAAAGAAGAGAAACACTCTGGAAGGCAATACTTACCCATTTCTACCTTCCTATCACCCTTTCCCTAGTTGTTATATTAATGCAAATTTACTTCAGAGGCATGTAACCTTACGCAGATTTATTCCAATTTGCGACCTCAAGGAGGTTGTCCGGTGTGTCTACAAACAGTACCATAAGATAGAAAATTAAGTAGACTATCCATTCAAATACTGATTTAAAACTAACAATGGGAAAGAGGCAAAGTAGAAGTCTTTCAGCACAGGAAAACAAAAGGCCAGTCTTGTCAGTCTTTAAGGATACAAAATGAAAGTTTCTACAAAGGACATGGAGGAATGAAATAGACTGTATTGTGAGAAGTGAGGAAAAATTACACTGGTGAGGCTTTACAAGTGTTCTTCACAGGAACACTAGGTAACAACCAAGTTGTACTTTAATTAGTAAAGTGACAAACTATAATTTACAGCTATGGTTTTGGAAAACTTGCAGAGTCTTTTTAAACATTTACTGCACCTGTGCCACCTTATAGTACAACATGCAAAATCAAGCATAATTGAGGATGGCCAGATTCAGAGATTGAAGGGAGGTATAAGAACTGAAGAAAAAATAAATTTAAGTACAAAATGCTGACTTTGTGAACTGAATTCTTAATGTATATACCCACAAAGACATTTGGAGAAATAAGCAAATGCTGCTGACAAAGTTAACTTCTCTCTTGGAGCTTTGAAAGTTTGATCCTAGAGTATCCTAATATAGTTGCTTCCTTCCCAAAAAGACCATTTTTTAAAACTTTCATCCACTCACAATATCTATCAATATGTATTATATCATCACCACAAATCTGGAGGAGAAAAAAATACTTTCAGATATTCATAAAGGCAAAAATGTGGTGCTCAAGAATACTAAGCTTTACTCAGGACAAGTCCCTCTAGTCACTAGAGTAAGATTTTGTTCAATTTGTTCTCCGTTTGTTTGAAATAATAGATAATGTTATTCTAAAACAAGAAGTATTTATGGCAGAAGATACTGACAATGCCATAAATTAAGCCTTTGGTTCTACACCACCCTTTAAATTTCACTCAGACCAGTACTAAGACCTTAACATTAACTTTTAGTAAAATGGGATTATAAAAAAAGGCAAATGTAAAGTTCCGGTGGCCTATACACAAAAGAAAAGCTACAGAATTTTACCTCATGTCTCTAACCCTTCAAGTTCTCTAACCCTTTATATTCTTCACTTAGTGACCTGAACAAATACATTCTGTATTAATACAGAAGAGTTTCAGTGCTCTTATGCAGCTGATGAGCAGTAAAAAAGGGAGACTGGTAAGTTTTCTCTGACATCACTCAGAATTCCCTGGACAGCAGGAAAACTAAGAGAAGCCCATTTTTGTATTTGGGAACACTAGACCATTAATAGTAATACACATGGGAGGTAACTGCTTGGAAGAAACCCAAGTCAGACAGAAGTACGAGGAGAAGCCTAGGGAAATACCATCTCTTTCACCCAAGGTCCATACCAGTGCAAAAACCAAAAAGGCAAGAGTAAAAGAGGAACCAATTTAACAGCAAAGGAGAAGGTTTTATTATTTCCATTATCTTAATACCAAGGACTCTTATCAAAGGACCAGGATCTCATGCCACTTGGCACAGTGTAGACACAGAACAGCTTGATCTCCAGCTCAAACAACTTAGCACCTAGTACAAGATGCGAGATGGAAGTACCAGGAAACAAAGAAACAATACAGGCAATATTGTCATGACAGGCAGTGGTCATAGCACACCAGCAGCTTAAGGGGTTTTTTGGCATCAAATATACAAGGACAAAATAGAACTTTGAGATGAGGTAGCTTTATGGACGTTAAGCGAGAACACTTACCAACCAGGAAGACATGACAAAGATGCTTCTTAGAAAATTAAGTAAGTGGCAGAAGGAGACTAGCATCTTGGTCAACTGACTTTATAATAAGTGAGAGATGACAGCCACAAAAGCCTTGAAAATGGAGACAAGTGGTTTATTACTAATGTGATACAGAAGAGGAAGCCAGGGGAGAAACTCAAAAGAAATTAACGTGATCAAAACCACAGGCTAAAAGCGATCTTCACAGAAGTATCTGAATAGATACAAGCAGAAAAAGATTACATGCATCATGGTCACATACAGACATTTAATTTCTACTGACAGAGTTGCTATTTTCCACTAGAAACCATGATTGTACAGACTTTCAAGACTTTTCTCCCAGAGTAAAATTAGCTGCTCCAGAAAAAAAACCAAAAACCAAGAGACATAGACATTAGGGCTGGAAGGGACCTCGGAAGATCATTGAGTCTAGCCCCCTGCCCCAGGGGCTAGAAGTCAGCTGGCGTCATAGGATCCCAAGAATAACCAAGGTTAAATTATTCCTGGGAAGGTTTCTCCCACAAAAATCGAGCCTTCTGAGAAAAGCTGCAGCACAATCCTTCAATGTGCCAGCATGCTTTGATTTTGGTTTGCTTCACCCCCTCCCTGGGGGGTATTCTTCCATCTGAGTAGGGAGCAGAACATGTTCCCCTGAATGCTTCAATCCCCATGCTGTGCTCCAGGTCTAAAATGATGCAGGTTGAGTCAAATAATCAAGGTTGTCCTGTGCACTCTGTTGTCATGTGCTTTCAGGCAGACTGAGGAGCCTGCAGAGCTCACTGAGATATGTACACAGGAGCCCCCTGATTACACAGTGTCAGAGCAGCAGTCTCTCGTGGAACATCTGAACAATGCTCTCCAGGTAAGTTTTCCAGGAAAACAAACCCAGAATTGATCCAGAGATCATTTGAATATGTGTATGGCAGGCATACTCAAGACTTTTAGCTATGCATACAGAAGGTCCTATATCTTGCATGTTATGGAGGAGCAAGAGAAATGGAGAAAAGAGTTTTTATGCAATCAAGAGTGGTAACAATTTTGACTCAGTAGCCTGGTAAGTTGTCTGAACACTGCATTCAAATTACAGCTGAGGGAATAGGCATGTTTTATGGGGTTCTTTATTGGCAAATCTCAGATACCAATCAAAGATAGCAGCTTGAGGTGTGGTCAGTTATCCACTAAGAACTGAACTGGAACAAACCACATGCACATAAACCAAGCCATTAATTTTAGTGGAAAGTCACAGTGTAGGAAGCCAAAGAGGCCGCTACCACATGGCAAAGGGGGGAATTAAGGACTCACCTGACTGGCAGCAGGCTGAGCTGGAGCTTTACAGCCACCTGAGCTGGCCAGGGAGTCCACCCCTAGGAGCCATGAAGTAAGAAGCTCCTGGTAGTAAAGCAGCAGGGCTCCTGAGTTCAGGAAGAAAGCCACTCTGCAACACAGGGAACAGAGGAAGATGTACCTGGGGCATAGCAGGGCTTGATTATACTGGCAGGCAGCCCTGGTTTACATTAAGCCTTAGAGGAGGCTTGAGTACCTGTCAGAGGGCAGGTGGTCGCTATTAAGTTATAGGAGCAGTTTAGCCTGGAGCACTGCAAGGGCAAGTAAGGCTCACCTAGAGAGAGCCAGCAGCCCAGAAGGGGCTGAATGGGATCAGCAGGATCCAGCCAGTTAGTGGCCGAGAGTTGTGTAGTGGGACAAGCAGGGTCCCGAGGCCCAAAGAGGGGCCAAGAAAGGGGGCCAAAGGAGGGACCAGGTCTCACAGCTGAAAGGGAAGTCAATCAAGGGGTCAAGGAGTCCAGCAGCCTAGGGAGGGGCTGAGTAAGGGACTGAGGGGCCTGGAGACATGGGGCTGTGCAGGAGGAGGGTTGCATGAGTGTAAGCATATGACAATGAGAATGTCCATGAGAATGCCACCTGCAAGGCTTGGGGCATGGTGTGGAGGATGTACACAGCCACGCAATTAGCCCTTAAGGCTACAGGTGCCTTGCAGAGACATGGTCAAGTTGACAGAGCCTGTAGGAATAGTTGATATTTGCAGGGGTGCAGGGGAACCCCATTGGAGATTTGGTAGGACTGAGGCTCACTAAGGCTCACGGGCAGCCTATTTTATTCAACCTTTAACAAGATCAAGGTGTGGGGGATGAGCAAATTGAGAGAGGGCAATACTAGAGTCAGAGCTGAGCAAGGGGCATCACGTCCACCCCCTGGGTCTCAGACCTGCTACACACAGTAAGCAACATATGCTTTTATGTTATAAACTTTTAGAGTAGAGACTGCTGCTTTTTGGTAAAATGATGCAGCATATTGGTATTCCAAGAATACTCAAGCAATTTGGCTCTACAATTCCATACTGAAAAGCATCAAGTACTTCTCTGTACATTTGGCGGGCTGACTCAATTGCCTGTAAGTGGTTGCTTTACTTTCCTATTTAATAAACATGCAATCTTCCTTTATCAGCTTCTTCTAGAACAGGCACAAGTAGCCAATTCAGTCTTCAGAAGTCATTGCTCTTAGCACATTATTACATGTATTTAAAAATAATCCAGATGAAGTAAAAGGTAAGCACTCATTTTAAGATACAAGTGTTTCTTCAAACTTCGGGAACATCCAAGTAAAATTAACAATTCATATTTGCGATTAATGCCTATTGGTGAAGCTGCCCAGCCTCCTTTGAAAAAACAAACAAACAAACAAAAAAACCACAAATATCACAAGAGTAGATACTTGGCTAAAGCCTTATTTAAAAAAAAACTAGTAATTTTTGTTTTGAAGTCCAGATGGAGATTCC